CCTACATCCGCACTGGCGCTCTCGTCTCGGCGCCGGCATCATTTCCTTTGAAATTCAGGGTCACGCTAAGGCGATTCGAGTTTGCGCCGAAGCTGGCCACCCAACAACATCACAAAACAACAGCAATAACAGCAGCAGCAACAACAACAGCAACAACACCAGCAACAGCAACAGCAGCAATAACAACACAAACAATAACACCACCACCACCACCACCAACAACAACAACAACGACAACGACAACGACAACGACAACAACAGCAGCAACAACACCAACAACAATAGCAGCAGCAAGAACAACAGCAGCAACAGCAACAACGACAATAACAACAGCAACAATGCTCGCCGCCGAAAGCCAGCTTTTCAACAAACGGGCGCTCCCGCTCGACATTTCTTTGTTTTTTGCTCAGGACTGGCGCTCCCGGCTCGGCGCCGCAGACGGCCTCCCCTGCAAACAACGACGCTCCCGCTCGATGCGTCCTCCGCTTTCATTTAAGACTTCCAGAGGCCCTAGAACTTGCCTACAGTCAAAAACCCTGATAAGGACGCGCGGTAAGGACGCAAGACCCTTGGAAGCCGAAGTTGGGATTTTTAGGGCGGTGGACGACGAAAACCTCAAGGACGCAAGAGCAAGGAAGAGCAAGGACGCGAGGGTACCCTGAGCAAAGTCGCGCGTCCTTATTAGGGTTTTTGACTGTAGTCCCTGGTGCCGACCCTCAAGAATGCAGCCTGCACTGTCGGAGGTCTGCGCAGGTGCCTCCCTGGAGTGCTCCGCGAGCCAGGGGCGGCCCGAGAGCCCGCGGCGGCGGCCCCGTCGTCGTCGTCGTCGTCGTTGTCGTCGTCCTTCTCCTCCTCCTCCTCCTCCTCGTTCTCCTCGTCTTTCCTACTCGTCTTCCCTCCTCCTTCTTTCTTCTCCTCCTGCTGCTCCCTCTTCTTCCTTTCCCGAGGCTCAGAAGCTCCTCCGATCCAAGCCTTGAGGCCTCTTGCACGATGGCCCGAACTTCTCCTGATCAGTTTTCAAGCGCCTCTCAGGGGCGCTCATGTTTCCTACAAAGGGATCTGAAACTTCTCTGAGGTTCCGGGGGCTCTCAAGCGGGCTCCAAAGGCTGTCCAAGGGGCTCCGGGGGCTCTCCCAGAGGTTGTGGGGCCTCTATCGGAGGTTTCGGGCTACTCGGGCGTGGTGATACTTAGAAGCAAGGCATGGGCAGGGCGATTGCGAATGCAACGTGCCATCCGGGCTGGAGATGTTGAAGTGCCTCGGAAGATGTGTTGAAAAGACCTCCTCGTGCGGGAGATCTGGGTGATGGATGGATGAATTTTATGTAGGAACCGCGCTCTCGCGTGGGCTTTGCTCGCGATTTATTCAGACGCCTCGCCTTCGACACTCAGGAATCAAACTCTCGCTGTGGATTTTTTCTATCGCTCGAGACTTCCTCGTGATTCACGCAGGACGCATGCTTCAGCAACCCGCCTGCTCGACTCGGCCGCGTGGGCCCGCCTCCCCGACCCGCCATTTAGGGTTCTGCCAAGTGTTTTCTGCTCTTAGCTCCCTCCTGCTACACTCTCTCGTGCTTCATCCTTCTCCCTTCCCCTTGTCACTTCCTTCCATCCGTCCTCCCTTCCCCTGCCTAGGGGCTGCGCGAAAAAACACGTAGCAGGTCAGAAAGCCTCTGAAAGGGGTACAATCGAATACGAAAAGGACGGTTATCGAGGGTTTGGTATATACGTGTTGAATGGCACGCGAGCAGGTAAGAGCGAGTAGTCTTGATGTTGTTATTGCTGTACGTTTCGGTCTCCGATGTCCCTTGCTGGGCCCTGGGGCCTTTTAAAACAAGTCAGGATGAAACAGTCATCCTGCGTCAGAAGTCGAGACATCTGGGGGTCCACGTTGCAAGAAAACCCGACCTTGAGATCCGGGCGTCTCAGTCTTTTCATATAGGACGTCTTCGTCTAATTTCGGGCCGCGTGACCCTGACGGATCGATCCGGCCTGAGAAATGCCGTAGAAGGATGCGGTCGATCCGTGGTGGTGATTTCCTACGATGTTTGTTTTTTCGCGACGTCGGTTCTCAGGAGATGTCATGGGACTGGGTATGCACCTACTGGCATCGATCCCGGCAGGGCTGGTCCTGGGCCCAGGATGGGTGCGTGGTGTCTGCCCAGCCACGCCACGATGGCGTCTGACCCAGGTGGCTGTGATTTTTAGACGGCCAGTTTGTCGGTGCCCCCACTCCAAGACCAGAACGCACGCACCAGTCGCGATGTTCCACCCCCCCGCGGCCTTTCCCGCAGCGCGCTCTGGTCAGGATTTCGAGGCGGCTTCAGCCGTGGCGGCAAGGGGGCCCCCGAAGGCCCAGGAAAAGAGGAGGGGCGGGGAGGAGAAAGGAGGAGGAGGAGGAGGAGGAGGAGGAGGAGGAGGAGGAGAGGAGGAGGAGGAGGATGAGGAGGATGAGAGGATGAGGAGGGAGGAGGAGGAGGAGGAGGAGGAGGGGGGAGGAGGAGGGAGGAGGAGGAGGAGGAGGAGGAGGAGGAGGAGGAGAAAAGGAGGAGAAGAGGAGAGAGGAGGAGGCGGAGGAGGAGAAGGAGGAGGAGGACGAGGAGGAGGAGGTTGAGGAGGAGGATGCGGGGGAGGAGGGGGAGGAGGAGGAGGAGGAGGAGGAGGAGGAGGAGGAGGAGGAGGAAGAGGAGGAGGAGGAGGAGGAGGAGGAGGAGAGGAGGAGGAGGAGGAGGAGGAAGAGGAGACGAGGAGGAAGAGGAGACGGATGATGATGATGATGATGATGATGATGATGATGAGGAGGAGAGGAGGAGGATGGAGGAGGAGAGGAGGAGAGGAGGAGGCGGAGGAGGAGGAGGAGGAGGGGGGGGAGGAGGAGGGAGGAGGAGGAGAGGAGGAGGAGGAGAGATGAGGAGGAGGAGGAGGAGCAGGAAGAGGAGGAGGAGTAGGAGGAGGACCAGTGTAAAACTCAGAGTCATCAGCGATGTTGGAATTCACCTTCCCTCCAAGTCCCCTCTTCATAGGCCCTCACAACGATTCATTTCCGTTGAGGGAACTGCCTTGTTGGAAGACAACCGTTTGAAGGCCCTGAAACATGCCCAAATATCGTTCTCGGGATTTCAACGCCACGTATCAACCTGACTACTGCGTCTTGACGATCCGGAATCGTGCCACAGCGCCATTTTTGGGACTTCAACACCGCGAATCGACATAGCTGTTGCACCCGCATAATCCTGAATCCTTCCCAAACGCCATGTCTGGTACGTTGATCATGGGAATCCGTGAAACTCTTGCACATGTTCAAAAAGAATGTGCGCGGCGTTAAGGTGAGAACCACATGTTGAAAAGGAACCGCCCTCAATCCGTGAAGCTATTGCATTTTTTTTAAACGGATGTGCGCGGCGCTATTGCGACAGCCAAATTTTGACAATGACCCGCCCTCAATCCGTGAAGCTCTTGCAATTTTTTAAACCGAATGTACGCGGCACTCAGGCCAGAGCCACATTTTGAAAAGGAACCGCCCTCAATCCGTGAACCTTTTGCCAATTTAAACAACGAATGTGCGCGACGCTAAGGCGAGAGCCACAGTTTCCAAAGGAACCGCCCTCAATCCGTGAAGCTCTTGCAAAGTTTGGAAATGAATGTGCACGGCGCTGAGGCGAGAACCACGTTTTGGAAACGACCCGCCCTCAATCCGTCAAACTCTTACATTTTTTCAAAACGACTGTGCGCGGCGCTGAGGCGAGAGCCACATTTTGAGAAGGAACCGCCCTCAATCCGTTAAGCTCGGAGGAGGAGGCGGAGGAGGAAAGGGAGGCGGAGGAGGAAGAGGAGGAGGAGGAGGAAGAGGAGGAGGAGGGGGCGGATGAGGGGGAGGAGGAGGGGGAGAGGGGGAGGGGGAGGAGGAAGAGGAGGAGGAGGAGGGGAGGAGGAGAGGAGAGGAGGAGGAGGAGGAGGAGGAGAGGAGGAGGAGGAGGGGAGGAGGGCGAGAGGGAGGCGGAGGCGGAGCGGAGGCGGAGGGGAGGAGGAGGAGGAGGGAGGAGGAGGAGGAGGAGAGGAGGAGGAGGAGGAGGAGGAGGAGGAGGAGAGGAGGAGGAGGAGGAGGAGGAGGGAGGGGAGGGAGGGAGGAGGGAGGGAGGGAGGGAGGGAGGGAATGAGGGAGGGAGGGAGGGAGGGAGGGAGGGAGGAGGAGGAGGAGGAGGAGGATGAGGAATACTAATAATAATAATAATAATAATAATATTAATAATAATAATAATAATAAGAATAATATTAATACTAAGAAGAAGAATAATAATAAGAAGAGTAATAATAATAAGAAGAAGACGAATAATAATAATAATAATAAGAAGAAGACGAATAATACTAATAATAATAATAATAAGAAGAATAAGAATAATAATAAGAAGAAGAATAAGAAGAATAAGAATAAGAAGAAGAAGCATAATAATAAGAATAATAAGAAGAATACTAATAATAAGAATATGAATAATAATAAGAATAATAATAATAAGAATAAGAAGAAGAATCATACGAATAATAATAATACTAATAAGAATAATAATAAGACTAATAAGAATAATACTAATACGAATAATACTAAGAGGAGGAGGAGGTAGAGGAGAAGGAGGAGGAGGAGGAAGAGGGAGGAGGTGGAGGAGGAGGGAGGAGGAGGGTGAGGAGGAGGAAGAGGAGGAGAGGAGGAGGAGGAGGAGGAGGGAGGAGAGAAGGAGGAGGAGGGGGAGGGAGGGGGAAGGAGAGGGGGAGGGGAGGAGGAGGATAGGAGAGGAGGAGGAGGAGGAGGAGGAGGAGGAGGAGAGGAGGAGGAGGAGAGAGAGGAGGAGAGGAGGAGAGGAGAGGAGGAGGATGAGATGGGGGTTGGGAGAGGAGGAGGAGAGGAGAGGAGGAGGAGGAGGAGAGGAGGAGGAGGAGGAGGAGGGGGCGGAGGGGGATGGGGGAGAAGGAGGGGGAGGATGTCTGGGTAGTTGGCGTCCTCTTTTCAGGCTGGACGCGATGGAGGAAGCCGGCGCGCGGGTCGAGGCGGCGGCCGCCGAGGCCTGCAACCACGGCGGCGGCGGCGGCGCGGGCGGACAGCGAACAGCGGGCGCATGGCGGCCGCGGCGGCGGCGGCGACGGCGGCGGCGGCGGCGTTGCCGACGACGACGACGAGGACGACGAGGCGGCCGCCGAGGCCCCCGCGGCGAACCGGGAGGCGGAGGCGAGACTGCTGCGCGTCGCGGCGGAGGCGGCGGGCGCGGTGGACGCAGCCAAGAGGGACCTGGAGGAGCTGGCCCGTGCCGAGGCGGAGCGGGTCGTGGCCGAGATCCGGGGCGTGGCGGTGGAGGAGCGTCCAACGCTCTTCGTGGCCGCCAGGCCCGACGTCGGCGCCTCGAGGGCGGCGGAGCTCGCGGCGGATGCTGGGGCCGAGCTGCGGTCGCTGATGGGCGAGCTTGAGGCGCGGCTGGCCGGGCGCGTGGCCGCCCTGGAGGCGCAGAGCGCTGCGGGGGCGACGGAGGCGAGGGCGCTCGTGGAGCGGCTGGACGGCCGCCTCGCTGAGCGCGTGGCCACCTCGGAGAGGGCGGCGGCCGAGGCTATGGCTCTGGCGACGGAGCTCGAGTCGCGGCTGTCTGGGCGCGTAGCCTCGCTGGAGGCAAAGGGCCCGCCGGGCGGCGCCGAGGTCGGCGAGCTTGCGTCGCGCCTGGCGGGGCTCGAGGAGCGGGGCTCGGCCGGGACCGCCGAGGCGAGGGAGCTCGTGTCGGACCTGGAGTCTAGGCTCGCCGTGCTCGTCGCCTCGCTGGAGGAGCGCGCGGCGAGCAGAGGCGCCGAGATGGGCGTGAACGTGGCGCAGCTGGACTCCCGGCTCGCCGGGCGCATCGTCTCGCTCGAGGCGCAGGGCATGGCCAGGGACACGGAGGTGAGGGCGCTCATATCGGAGCTGGAGTCGCGCGTCGAGCGGCACGCCGCCGCGGCGGAGCCGCGGGCGCGCGCGGATGCCGTGGCGCTCGTGGCGGAGCTGGAGGCGCGGCTGGCCGAGCGCATCGCCTCCCTGGAGGCGCGGCACTCCGAGGCCGCGGCGGCGGCCGCGAGGGCCGAGGCTGGCCTCAAGAGGGAGGAGGGCAGGCTCGCGGAGCTGGCCTCGTTGGTGAGCGTGGCGCAGGAGGGTCATTCTCGTTTAACCGATCCCCATCCCCACCGGGCCATGGTATCTCAGCCCCAGCGTCCAGCCCCTCCCCGCCCCCCAGTTGGGGATAGGCCCCTCGAAGCCCGAGGGGAGCAGCCTGCATCCCCTATCCAGAGGCAAATCGGCCAGTGGTGCCCAGGCCACGCCTGTGGGGATAGGGATCGGTCAACTGATGCTCAGGAGGAAAGGGTGTCGGCCTTGGAGCAGCGGGCGAAGGAGGCGGCCGCCAGCGGCCAGGCCTGCCTGGAGGAGTGCCAAGGCGCGTCCGCCCGGGTCCTGGCGGCGGAGCAGGGCCTGGACTCCCGCGTGCGTGACGCGCTGGTGCCCCTGATGCAGCGCGTGTCCGAGGTGGAGGCGGAGTGCGGGAGGCTGCTCGGGACCCAGAGCTCCGTGCCGAGCTCCCAGAGCCAGGCGCCAGATGTGCCCCGAGGAGACAACCAGGCAGACACCGATCCCCCTCCCGCGTTCTCGCCTCTCGGGGCCTCCTGGGGGCCCCCGTCGCCGCGGCCGGATCGGCCTCGGAACCCTCGTCCGAGCGCGCCCTGGGAGAGGCCCACGGAGCAGCCCCAGGCACCGGGCAGCCGACGGCTGTGCGGGGAGTCGGAGCCCCCCGTGGC